CTTGAATCCAAAGAAGTTCAAGTGCATCCATAAAAAATATTACTGTTAAATATAATGTCATTTCTGTCATTTTCAGGAGGTAGCCGAGCCTCTCCAAGACTTGAAAGAAGGAATGGACCAGTTAGAAAACAATAAGACATTGAGATATATTCTGTCCACATTGCTTACAATTGGCAATTTTCTGAATGGATCAAATGTAAGTAATGGTCTTGGCTCCTTGGATCCTTAAAATGTATACTTTTTACATTACTTTTGTCTCTTGAAATACTTAACAAGGGAAAAATGTGGTTATGTTGATGTTGTTGAATAAAAACAGAATGTTTTCTAAAACCTGTTTGGATATAGTTTTGCTCTGCTTTTTTTCTATTTACTTCGTAATTTTAGATGGCACAAATTTACTCTGTATGCGTTTACATGTTCCACATGGTGGCACAGGGTACCCAAGAGTTTATGTTAGATTGTGGGAGAAGACCTTTATCCAGTCCAGTAATTTTAACTCTGCCTTTTGTGGATTTCAAGTTTCAAGACAAAGAACTGAGCTATTTTAACTTCACTTCTCATTAATTTTGGAAACGTATGTTTATGTGTGGAAGACTGATGTAGAATCTATTATAAGACTGAGGTTTTCTCTTAATGCACTGCTCTTGTGCTGCATTTCAAGGCCAAAGGATTTGAGCTGAGCTACTTGGAGAAGGTTCCAGAAGTGAAGGACACAGTTCATAAGCAGTCTCTTCTGCATCACGCTTGCACCATTGTGGTGGAGAAGTTTCCAGACAGTACAGATCTCTACTCTGAGATTGGGGCCATTACCAGATCAGCCAAGGTATTGCCTCAGCCATTAACCTCTCATCCTTTACCGCCTTAGCGTTTTGTTAAAGAGAATTTGTAGTGGGGCACATGTTTGCTAGACCAAGGAGGTTTGTCATTGCGACATTAAACAGATTGACTTAATCCACCTTTTTTTCTCAGAGAAAGAAAAATACAATTTCGTCAGACAAAGGTACCTTCATTCAGCAAAATTCTAAAAATTTCTCTCACACCCAAATACAACCTAAGCAATGAAACAGTAAAAGCATGCATACTTCTATTTTAGCCTAAATATAACAGAAGAGATTAATGTTAAATTAATGTTAATTAGTTGATACGCACACCTTTGATGCTTAATACCCCTTTACAACATTATTGCAATAGTTATAATAATACAATAAAACAAGCCCTTGAATTCTTAAAAGTGTAAATCAGCTGTTAAGTAACTGAACCTCCACACATTACTGGAACAGAAGCATAAATGGAAAAAATAATGTGGAAATAGATTTGTTTTATTTTACATTTTAATACTGCATAAGCAGTCATCTGAATATGCGGTTTTAAATCTAATTTTCATTCTCATTAAAGTTCAATTTAAACCAATGCCTTCTGTACGTTTGTCCATTTTTAAAATGGGTCAAAATATTAAATTAATTAAATGAGAAATCTAAATGTTATCCTAAATGTTAATACTGTTAATTTCTTTACACATGAGGTTGTGTATAAAACACGTGATTCATTCATGTTTTTAATGCGGATTGAAATCCTTAGATTAATCAGTAACTACCAAATGGACTACATGGGCCATGTAGCCTCCTTTTGTTTGTAACTATTCTTATCTGAAGTAACCTCTGTTTGTATATAAACAGTCTAGTGACAAGAATTCAGTAGCACTCAATACTTCACTCTTTTGGTCTTTCTGTGACCGTATACCAGTTCAGGCGGGACAAGACAGTAGCATGTACAAGATAATAATAAGGCAGCTGAGATTGCTGGTGAGATGGAGAGACTGGGTCACCTCTCCTGGACTGTACCAAAACCCTTCCAGAGGAGGAGATCACAGTTGATTCTCAGGTTGAGAGCAGGTACAATAAACCACATAACATTGTTTAATAATTCCGGCAGCTGGCACAAGTATTCTGGTAAAAGGTTTGGAGCCTTTAACTTTGTCTTGGGTGTTTATACATGTCATTATTCAGAGTAGAAGTGCTCCATCAGTATTATGGTGCACTTGTAAGTCAATACATTGAATTATATACTTTAAGACAATAATGTTTTGTGTGTCAAGGCTGCTCATTTAGCCTCAGAACAAAGGTAATAAAAAGCATAGTTATTTTCTTTATATAAACTAAAACCTCAGCTTCCTTTCTGGTAACACAGGTGCTGGCAGACTAAATGTTGTAAAAAGTGCAGTTGCCTGTCTGGATTTTTTTTTTAAATACACTCTGTATTACTTTAATGCGCAAGTAACCAGTAAACCTGGTACAATCAAGGCTGCCGGAACACAAAGTCTGTGCCAGACTTTTTGAAACCTGCACTAGCATGACTGTGGTTGACCCTGTGATTATTTTTGTTTTAATGTGTAGTAAATCTCTCATGCCATACCCAAGGAAAGGGTTTTGCTTTGATCCCCAGCCTGCTTTGTGTTAGGGCTCTGCTTTGAATTAATAACAAAATGTTGTTTCATACACAGTGACCGCACCAGCAATATTGTTTATTTAGCATTCTGCTTAATTGTCCCTGCTCCTTTGAATTTAATACAAAGAGCAGCTTTTTTTTTATTCTCCTGACAATATTTGTATAGGCTATCCATTTTAGAATGAGAGGCTTTGTTTTCCAGTTTGAGGTATTAAAGAAGGGTCCAGGTCTAACTATTGAACCGCAGTCCTTTGTAGGAGCAGAGTATAAAGTTATTATACTAAAGTCTATACCGGCTCTTATGGAGCTCCTTATGGAGCCAGTATAGACATTAAAAGGAGATAAATTATTTTTAATGTAATGTGAGTGTATCAGAGAAAGTAAGTGGATTTTTAGAAGCAGCACATCTCAGTTTTTGTTTATTCCCATTAAGAATGATTATATAGATTTTAAAATTCCATATAATTTACACAGAATCTAATAATATAAATAAATAATTCATTACACATACAGTATATAGCTCTTTTCCAGAAAATCCACTTGCTTAGCTTTTATTTTCATCTTGCATTTTCCCTGGGCTGGGTAGTAGCCCATCAGAGACAGAAGGGATTACCATATTCGAATTAATCCCTTCAATAAATTGGAAGAGAATAGTCTACCCCAAACTGCAAATCTTTGCAATCAGATCAGCATGTTGTCCTTTTATTGATTGAGTATGCCTGAAAAAATGCTTTGAGGACTGTATTTAGAATTCCTAAGGTTTCATTGGCTCTCTACAGAAGAAGAATAAAAAAGAAAGCCGAATGGTAAAAAGCTGAAAATAAGGAGTTGAGTAATGAGCAGTGAGTGAGGTTGAATTCTCTTCCTGTTTCCCAGTCATCTCAACTTTTTTCATTCAATTAAAGGGTAAATTCTGATTAATGTTAGGAAGTTAACTGTAGTTTATGGTTTAAATATCATGCTCACCTGTTGTTTTCACAAAAAATAATAAGAAGACTGCAATAATTAAGTCTGTGTTAATTCATTACAACTAAAAAGTGAACAAACTAATACAGAATTAGTATGTTCTAAATACTTGTGTTTCATCTCTTCTGTTTAGAGGTGAGATAATATAATTGAATGCTTTCTTCCATATATCCAATTGGGGTAAATTCTAATTGATATAACATATACATTTAGCATATCAATTCTAATTGATATAGCAATTAGAATTTTGTTCCATCTATTTCATAATATTTAGTGAAATTCATATTTTCTCTTTAAAGCTTTCTGGGTAAGAAGAGTTTAGGTAATATAAATACAGTGCACCTGTGCCAAAGTTGTCTTTTCATTGAAAGTATATTAAAACTTGTTAATATACTTTCACTTAACACTTGGAGAATAATTGACCTTCACTTCTACAACAGCCTCTTGCTCTTTTGCTCAGATCATTTTAGTTTCCTCAACTGATTCCTTTTTCTCAACAAAAACAGAAGGCTTAGTCAGTCTGTGTATATCAACAAACAAAGAAATATTGTGAAATGAGAATGGGTTTTTGACAGATGTTTAATCAAACCATAACAAAGGTTTGGAAAAGGTCACCTGTTTGATCCCCAAGCAGTTGGCACTGTTTATTACAACGTGAAATCCACATCTTTCTCTCTCAAGAGATAGAAACCCTCCATGAACATAAAAAAGCAGTGAATAATTACAGATTTGTATTCCCCTATAATTAGCAGATTTAACTGAAAGGATTTTCTTGTCACATAAATCAGTCACAAAGGATTCTCTTCTTCAAAGAGTGGGAAAAGGGTCAAATATTTTCTCTAGGTCACATAAGGAAAGTAATATTTTCAAAACAGGTTCTGTTAGACTACTGTATTGTATTTTATACATCTATAGTCAGTAAGTTCACCTGGATTTTGTGAAGTGCTGGTTAAATGTAAGCATCAGCTAACCTTCATCTCTTGGCCTGATTTTTTAATGTGGGCAACCTAAAGGTAAACAGATTATGTTAGAGTGGACAGCTCAACCACAAAGAAAAAAAGAACTGGGATTCATCAGTATTAGAGGAACAATTAAGCTATGGGCAACCGAAGCAAATCTAACAAAGTGTACAGTATCTAACTTTAAAAAAGCCTTTGTGACAAGCCAAGGTTTGACTTAAAAGCAGAGGCTGGAATTCTGAGATGTTGTCAGGTTCTTGTTTTGCTTTCATCACTGCCAAGTAATTTAGCCAGTACAGAAGAGGACACTTCACAGCACATTTCAGTGAGGCATAAACCCAGGAAATGTTGTTGTTCTTGATTTGTTATACATGTTGATAGCTACTGAAGGGATATTAAAAGTTTACAAAGTTTAACAAAAATGTTAAAAATTATAAGTAAATAACAGCACGATTCGTAAACCACTTCACCACACCACTGATATCCTAAAAAATACAATCTTTTTGATTTGGATTCCACTCTACAGAATTTCAGTCTTAATAACGTGAAGCCCAAATGACACTGATTTTTGCTTCTACTGTCACTTTTACACTTAAACATAAGTGACACTAGAACTTTTTACTTCATTGAGAGGGCACATTTTGCCACCTGTATCAATTGGGAAAATAGTCATGTTTCCTAGTGCATTAGTCCTTTGACAGTGCACTAGTTGTCAAAGAACATTAGGATTTCAGTCATAAATTGGATATAATTTTATTTTAATTTTACTGAATTGTTTTCAATGTAGAACATTTCTGTGTGTGATTTTGGAGATGGGATCTAGCAAGTTGCCCAGCTCATGCACAGATTAACTTCAAATACATGGGACTTCCCCTTCAGTATGCCCTAACAGGGAAACATCCATAAGCTTTCTAACATATGTGTATCAGTAAAGTCAAGGACCAACAAAGCTCTGGCACTAAATTTGATACGCTATCCCCTTCCTGCAACATTGAGCTTCTATATAGCAAGGAATATAAAGACATGTGGTTAGTTTGGGTTTCTCTTTTCCAAGGCAGTTAAATTCCAAGGAAGGGAAGGTCCCTCATATTTCCACAAAGGAAATAAAAAGTTCGCAAAAGAATCTTAATATATTGCTGAATACAGTCTCGTAATCTTGCACACAAACTATATGAACCTATAATTTTGAAAAACATATTTTAAAATGTTGTCATATGTGCATATGTACGTCTTACAATATGTATGTGAAGGTCTATAAAGGTCATCTTTGTGTTGCTTAACTGTAGTGCCTATGTACAACTCCAGCTCAAAAGATCCATTACCCTAATAATCAGATCCATCAAATCCAAGAGCAGGGCAAAGAGATACCAGAGTCATGTTATTTATGTGTTATTTCCACCTAAGCCTCCCTTTCCCCATGCATGACAAAGACTAGTGTATTTATAAATGAGAAAGTTAGACTGACATAATTAAGAACATTTGATTAATACCAGTAAAAGTCCTTATGTATTTGTAATTATTGTGTTACAGGTCTATGAATATAAAGCAAAAAAAAACATTTTAAAAAGCTTTTAAAAGTAGTCTATAATGCTATTTTTGTTTTTCAGGTTGACTTTGATCAGCTTCAAGAAAACCTGTGTCAAATGGAGAGGCGTTGTAAAGCATCCTGGGATCACCTTAAAGTTATAGCAAAACATGAGATGAAGCCAGTCCTCAAACAGAAGATGTCAGAATTCTTGAAGGATTGTGCTGAAAGGATCATCATTTTGAAGATTGTGCATAGAAGGATAATCAATAGGTAATAGACGAGCCTTAACATTTTAAAATACTGAAAAAATCATTTTTGGTGCAAACGTTTCTATAAAGTGTCTTAAAAATCATAAGAACACCAAGGCAGATAAAAATGAGAATGATGAATGACGAAAAGAGAAGGGTGTGCTTTCATTTTAAATTTGGTGTAAAAGTAATGTACGAATTTAAAACATTATAATGTGAAATATAACATTTACTAAGGGCCTTCTTTATAACAAGGTTCAATCAAAAGTTGTATAGATTAACAAGAATATACTTTATGGCAAACGTTACCTGCTATTTTTTTAAGGTAAACCTCAAAGGAGTCAGCAAAAGCATTTCCTCATTAGGAGTAACTGACATTATACAGAAAATATTGGTAATTGGTAATATACACTACCTATTAATATTAAATAAGTAGTGTGGCTGAACTTTCTTTTCTCCTTATGAAGATGTTTTTACCCATCTAATTATTTTCGTTATATTGCAAACAATGAGGAAAAAGGGTTTTGAAATGGATTACAACAGAGTAAAAGTGAACAATAAAAAATACAATCAAGTGACATCTTGATATACTCTGTTATGTTTTATTTTACACTTTATACTCTTTAAGTATTGGATGCAGTAGGAATGTAGCTCTTGCTGATGGTCTCACTCTAACTACAAGATCTGAGGCAACTCAGAAAAGAGGATTTGCTGCTGCTTGGTAAAGTGCACAAACATAGACCAGCAACAGTCTGCTGAAGAGATGTCCCAGATCTGTACACCAAGCAGATGTCTTTAATAGTGTAGTTGTGTGAGATCCCTTTTGTACTTTATACTGTATGAGACAGGCATAAGTGATTCATACAGAACAGAAACAAATGGTTATTCAGATGTTTCTTTGTTTTTAACTCAGGTTTCATGCATTTCTCCTGTTCTTGGGACACCCTGCCTATGCCATCCGAGAGGTCAATATTCACAAATTCTGTAAGATAGTGAGTGAATTTGCCCTGGAGTACCGCACCACACGGGAGAGAGTGTTACAGCAGAAGCAGAAACGAGCCAACCACCGCGAGAGAAACAAGACCAGGGGCAAAATGATCACAGACGTAAGTCTGAATCTTGCATTGTCACTTTATTGCGTTCTGCTGGAAGGACTTTATCTTTTATTTGAAGACTTTACTCCAACAGGGTTGTATGGTCTGGTGTTGGGAACTGGTTAGGGTTCACAGTAATCACTTTCAAGTGGTTACTGATATAAAGTTCAGATCTTCATCCAGTCAACTCTTTGTTCCTTATGTTCATTTAGTTCTGCTCAGGAGCATTTGCTTCTGTTCAAAGCACCTCTCCCTCACTGTCTTTGACATTTAGAAGATGGTTCTGGACCATTTGCTCAGAGTACAATGGCTCACAGACGTTGTGACTATGCATTAATGTAACAGTGACTTAGATGTATTAACATGGAAAGAGCAGAATAACAGAAGAGTCATTTGTATCAAGGCTGTGAGCATTTTAAATTTAGACATTTGAAGTCATTTATAGTGTGGCTCTGGAAGTTGCAATTTTTCACTACTATGTTTTAGCATTAATCAACAACTTGTGTTTAACAAAAAGGCTTGATTTTTTCCATTGCTCCATGGCTGTCTTGCATGCTACTTCAGCGAACAGTGAACAAAATCAAATTGAACAGACTGGTAATTGAGTAGAATGATTGGGATCACTAGAGTTAACTAAACTAAGACTGACAGCTTCTCCATGTTGTTAAGACCAGGACCACACATACACACAATTCTCTTAATATTGGAACCCTTTAGCAAACTCTGCTTCATATCCACCTCAATAAAACGAGAGGTTCTCCAGTAATTTGCCAACTTTCAAGATAGTTTCAAAGGACTTTCATTTCAAAAAAGCTAAGGTTTCCTCGGGGAGGATGAAAATATCCCTGCAAATTCTCTTTGAAACTAAGTCCTGCAAATTACACTTTCAATTCAGTTTTTCTTCTAAAAAATGCTAATAATTATAGCTTATAATTGAGAACAAATGTGGCCCGCATACTAAAAGCTACCTCCTCATGAACTTCCTCAATTCCTTCCAGAAAGAAATGCAAAATCTGCTTTGTTTTCTCATTGGATTTTTTATTAAAAAACATTTATCCCACCACTAAAAATATGGTGCTAAATGCAGCTTGATATAACATAGATCCATAGGCTATGAAAAAGCTGTCAAACCTATCAAATTAGAAGTTCTAGAAATAGCTGTGTTCTGTTGTTGGTCACAGGAATTTGTTGACTCGTCAGATCTGAGAAAACCGTAAGGTGTGTAGAAAAACAGATGACATTTCTCTGGAACATAATTTCTCAACCAATGCCACTGTATTCTGATTTGGGACAAAGTGTTATAGGAGGTGCTGTCCTTCAGATGAGATCAAGACTCCTTGATCAAGATCTTATGGCCTTTTCTATTGCTTGCAAGAGTAGTGGTGAAAACCCTGGTGCTTTGGCTGAATTGCACTCAGGGCTTAAACTTATAATATGACAGTGAATGCTACTGTATATCTTAGTGGTGATAAGCGTGCTTTGTTAAAGAATAAACAAATAAATGAAGTTAACAATAGATTCTAAATAGGTTACATAGAGAGAAAACCATTTTTACTTAGCAGATCTGTGTATCAATTCAGTAAAGGACAGCAAGAAAAAGTATATTAACAAGAACTGCATATGCAATCTGTGCCAGGGATACAGTGTTCTGAGGGAATTACTGCTTGAAATCTAGGAGGTTTTCTGTGGCCATTATACTGTGAGACCTATCGTTATCAAATGAATGGAGTTGTTCAAAACCCAGGTGAGAATCTGGGTTGAATAATGTAAGGAAAATTCTTTCTTGGTGTGTATTCTCAGCATTTATCATGTATGTGAATAATTAAATCACTAACCTACCAGAGGTTTGAATTAGAGTGCTTATTAAAAACTGTATCTAAGAAAAAATGCCATTCTGAAATATAAATATTTTCTCCTCTGCCAAATAGTTATTTAAGTAATGATAAAAACCTATTAATCTGAGAGAAACATTTCATTCTTTACAACCTGTTTGGTTTGGCGAAAGCCTTGTTTGAGTTCAGAGAACCCTTATTTAATCACTGTGTGAATATGAAAACCTCTGCATGCTGTTGCAAAGGAAAAATAAACCATATCTATAATAAATGAATCTCTTCTTATGACACAAGACACACAATTTGTACATACTCATATGAAGTCTGCTTGCATTTTAGAATTAGTTAGAATAGTCTGTCATCCTTTCCCGCTTCATGCTGTGTAACATGCTTTATGTCTTTAATGCTTTCTTCTTCTATCTTCATTCCATTTCCTCTTTGCTCTGTTTCCTCCAGACTGATGATGAAGAGGAAAGTGAGGTAGGGTTGTCATGGGGACCAGTCTGAGCTGGATTGCTTTTTGCGTGTTTGTGTGCTAAGTGTTTATTTCTAACAGCTGATGAAACATCACAATGTTTTTTGTCTTCTGGCTTTCCTTTTCTTTGCATTTGGCACATACCGAGTGGACACTTGTTTGCTGTGATCATTTTAATTAAATCCCCAAATACCTGCAACATTTGATACTTTTCAGAGTGTTACCTTTATAAGTGGGAAATTATTATCATTTTCTCTTCTGGTGTTTTAAGAAAATAGTGCAATGAAACTAATATACACAATTTTTAACAAATGTTCAAAATGCACTTGCTCTGTCTCATGTAATTGATGTTTATGGTGGTTCAGGGATTGAAATTGAAAAGGAATTAAGTATATCCGTTTACTGACTACAAAACCTGAAAATCTAACAGGGTAGCCCAATAAATTGCAACAAGGAAACACACACCATGTATGATCTGCATTTGAAAACATCAGATGTAGTTCCTTTTTTTAAAATTAACTGAAAGGAGTCCATGAACGTTTTATGACTGATTTTAAACACATTCCACAAACAACTGGAGAAAATTGTGTTATCATACCCAGAAATCATTACGAAGGCATCGAATCATATTACAGGAGTCTAGACTGCTGCCACTGGTCCATTGAAGTTCAGTTTGTGTTTTCCTGGCTATGAAAAAATACTGTACTTACCCTTACCCTAGTTGTGGGCTATACTAATGATATTAGAATGAGCAAACAATAGAATTAGGTGGCTGTTTACCCAAAGGCCCGGTAAATAAACAGTCTTCTATTGCTTATCCAGGTGATTCCCATTAAAGAGTGCTTTAGCTGAGTAATTTAATCCTGTTAGGTAGCATTTGATCCCTGCTCAGGAGATATGTTTAACAATAGCTTTCAGGCATAAAAATGATTATGTAAAGTCTAAGTAACTTTATCGGCCACTTCTTTGCTTTGAGGGGGTATGAGTGCGTGTTACTTAGATCTCCAGGTGGTATAATAAAGCGAATGTGAGGTCACTATTTAATGGCACGCACTTCCGTATTTGAACAGATCCCAACTACCCTGTTAAGCTTAACACCATCTCTTCATTTTTTTTTTCTTCTGAGGTGGTTTAACAGCACTGAGGCATTTCTGAATACAGTTCATGAAACTGAGTATTAAGTATCAATTTGTTGTGGTTTTTTTTTGTTGTATTTACCTAATTTAGGCCTATCCACAAGGGAGGGCCTTAGGTATACAGTATTTAATAGTAAGGAACAAGGGACCCTGATCGAATTTATGAATGAGAAATGTGACCCTTTTTCTCATTTCTGAGAACATTTTTGTCCTGTCTTTCCCATCCCAAAGTATACAAACAAACAGTAAACAATTTAGTATGTCCATTAACATTGCTATGTACACGATTCATAAGCATATGTCATTAGCAGTACTTCTTCTACTAAAGTAGGGCATCTTTTGTGGCTCTGGAGGCTATACCAGTAGGACTGATTTTTGAGATGGGAATTGTGGTATTACGATAGTGTTCTGGAACATACAGCTAAACAATGAAAATATTTTGAGCTATTGTTAGGTGTATTTAAGCCTCTATTTTGTTTAGCGATTTCCTTTAAGGTTACAACAGCAGTGTCGGCAGCAGGGACTTGAACCCACAGTCCATCATTTATGAGTTCAGTATCTTAATCACTCACTACACCCAGTCACTATGCCATCTCCTAAGTGGTTAATATTCCTATAATATTTTTGAATTGGCCTACTTCTAACAGGGCAAACCTTCAGGCTAAATTAAATGAATCATTAAAAAAAATGATTACTTGTTTTCTTAAGACACCACTATGTATATTTTTTCCTTCTTTTGGAAAAATCTTCCTGTATGGACCTATACCTATGTGAAAAGATATTTTGATCATCTGGGTGATTTTGTAGTCTTATGTCTTGTACTCTTTTGCTATCTTCTAAACCTATTGAAAATTAATTTGTTTGTAATGGATTTTTGGATTCTTTGGAAATTCAAGCTGCTGGACAGATCAGCCATGAAACTGTGTTAAATTAATGCATTCAGGAACCTGAACCTTCTTACTAACAGTTAAAAGAACCTATTTTGAAACTTGTTTAAATAAAAGTGCTTCTTAAAAAGAAATCTGTTTTCCCCATTTAAAACATGCTGTAGATGATCTAAGACATTAAAGAAAATTCTGTATGTAACCAATTAATGTGTGACATCTATCTTTAATATTGCATAAAATGTGTATGTTCATAACACAGTGATAATGAAGTAGGAAAGAGTCCTGAAAAATATCAGATTTTATTGCAGACTAATCTAGTAATTGTTCTGAATGGATGGATTGTAAAACAATCTGAGAGAACAAAGATCACGTGTGAAATGCTTTTGATGCTTTTGTGTTTGCCAGGATGGGAATTCAGATTCATCTTGGCCTTTACAAGGCATGCAATAGTTTTTGTTTTTCAAAAATTAACAGCAGGGTTTGGCAAATGATGTTGCTGTGGTGTGTTGTTGACAGACTGGGAAGTTCTGTAGTGCTCCAGCCAGCAGCCCAAGCCAGCCACAGGGCCTGCAGTATGCCGAGGACGCAGCTGAGCACGAGAACATGAAAGCCGTGCTGAGGAGCAGTGTGACGAGTGGAGAGAGCAGCACGTCTGTAGTCCTGGGGGTACGCACTCGAACCCGAGCCAGCAGAGGTAAGACAGGCTTTACAAGCGCACCTTCACACTGCTCACACTACACTGCAGACCAGTGCTGATTATTTTTATCTGTGTGTTGTTTCCATGTCAACTGAAGTCTTGAGACAGGCCAGGTGTGATATATTATGTAATCAGATTTCATCAAGACTTTGCAGTCAGTAACTTTAAGTGTTACCAAAAATGCAACATTAAGTGTTCCTGTCTGACTTGTGTCTTTAAATTGTCCCAGTCAAGGTGTAGTCCTGCCTTGTAGCGTGCTTGTAGTCCTGTGCTCTAAAATCATAGGATAATTAATGTATTGGGATCCTTCTAATGAAGGATTAGGCTCGTATTCCAAAAAGGTTTGGGTTAGATCTGTTTCCCCAATGTAATTAAATGACATTTTTTAAGCCACACATGCAGTTAATTATTTCTTCTGTTTCTTTGTGAAATTGTTTATGTGCTACATGCTAGTGCTTGGACCAGAGAGAAAACAAAATCAGCTTTAATGTTATAATTTATACTTTTCTCGGATAATGGATATTTTCACCTAAAAGAACAGAATTTGTTTTTGTTTAATAATATTAAAGCTTTATATTATACCTTTACATTATAGCTTAAGTGATGATGTTAGCTTGTTATTACTAGTACTACACCTTTTTTCCACATTATTGCTGATCATTTGAATTAAAGGACAAAGAACAGTTTGGAAGCAATGACAAATTCCAAGAGGAATATTTTTGATTCCAAAACCAGCCAATATTCACATCCGTTTCTATTAACAACTGATATTGTTATGCATTTCCAGAATAAAATTTTAAAAATAAAACAACTGGATTGAAGGTCACGGGGCTTTAAATGAATACTTAAATACTTTATTTCCTTGTTTGAAAGCTTTTTTGGAACGTTGAACAAATGACTTCTTCAGTGCAGTTTTTATTAATGTTTTCAGCATAGATGCAGCATGTTTGATTTAGATTTTTATACTTGATCCTCTCCCAAATGTAAATTGCTACAGAATATCACTTCTTATTAAGGTCACATACTGTAAAGCACTGAAAATAATTAACATCTTTCATTTTCATTACTAGAACAATCGTAAAGATCACATGTAATCAATCTTATCACAAGCAATGCCAAACTATTGACACAGAAGAAAGACTAGTTCTTTCTTGTAGTGAAACTGATATTCCTTTTGCAGCTTTTGCCATAGAAAGTACTGTACAACTGTTCTCCAGTATGGTCCTACAAATTCAATGTGCCCAGGATTCAGGAATTTATTTTGTAGGCCGCGTTGGATCCTGGAATACAGCAAATGACGACTCACCCAATGCAACGGATGATGCAGCAGACGAGATCATGGAGCGGATTGTGAAGTCTGCGACCCAAGTGCCAAGTCAACGTGCTGTGCCTAGAGAGAGAAAGAGATCGCGTGCAAATAGGAAGTCCTGTAGGTCAAGTTTCATTACTCGCAATTTTGGAATTCTGTAACAGATATTCTTGTAAAATTCCCTTCAATTGTGAAGCCTCATTTAAAGTGTCAAATTTTGCATGACAGTTTTTAATTCTGAATAAATCAAGATACATTAACAGCCTGTTTTATTACTTTAGACATTGTGCTTCTGCACAGCATTGTGCTTCTTTAGCTGGGAAGTGCTTTTAATGTAAGAGCGACGAACTTAATGTGAAAAGCACCTACTATAGACTAAGCCCAAATATGAGATAAGATCTTGTGCTGACAAGTTCAAATTAAAGACCTGCATTAAAGAGCAGAATTAAAGAGAAGTGCAGGGAATACTTTCAACAAAGTAGCAGGTGATACTGTTGAAGTTGGCTGTTTCAGGAACCTCAAGAAGTGACTGTATGACAATCTGAGACTGGCATGTTAATAGCGATCAAATGAGCAATATGGATCAAACCCCCCACCCTTATTCGTAACCTTATTTATGATCATATGGTCTTAATTTCACAGAACAACTCCACTGAAGACCCATATGGATTGAGTATGAGCCAACTGGCCGCCTAGGTGTATTTAAATCAATCCATCCATTTCCTAACCAGTTCTTCCAATTCAGGGCAGTGAGGGAGCCAGTGCCTGTTCTGGCAAGCAATGGGCGCAAGACTAGAACTGGCCTTGAGGGAAAGGCCTGTCTATTGAAGTTTAGACACACACACACAGACATATACTGTGCATGCACACACTCACACTTGGGGCCAGTTTTCCCAGAAGCCAATTAAACTACCAGTGTGCTCTTTGACTGCTGGAGCAAACCGGAGAACCTGGAGGAATCCCAGAGGAACACAGTGAGAACATACAGTACAAACTCCACAGAGGTAGCACCCCCTAGCCTCAGAGCCGCACGACAGAGATGCTAACCAATGCACCACTGTGTTGTCCGTGTATTTAAATATAAGATATTAGTTATATATCCAAACATAAGTTACTGTTCAGGTGGGTTTTTGATAAACAATAGGATTTAGATCTCGGACTAAAAAAACAATGAATGTATTTGACAATTCCTGACCAGTCTGTCTTGCCATGTGTTGCAAGCATTAACAGACTTCTCCAATGAATAGTGTTCCTGGGATTTAACAAGCCAGCAGGGTAAAATATGTGGAAAAAGTCTTCTGTTTTTTTAAACGAAGTAAAAAACACCCTTGACTGCAAAATGCAACATACACTGATATGTAAGATTTTTCCTTCTTGCCTTGGTGAGTAGTTGGACATTGTATTGTTTTCTCCCTGGTTAAGGCATGGCCCTTTCATATGTAGAGTCTTGGCATTTTTCACACGTTTCATGCAATATGCTGAAGGATTTACAAACTGAGAGAACTGTTTCTCTTCAGCCTACTCAAAAATGAAAGCCTCAGAAACCCCTCCATCTTCTCAGGCACCTGCAGCCTTGCAGTGCTGTTGGCTGTTTTCACCTCTCCTCCAGTTGTCTCTGGACCTCCTGTACATGGCTGTATAGCCTGTGATGTCTTAAAGGACAAAGGTCACTAACCTGTGCGGTTTGGAGTAGTCTGTCTACACTTTTTCTCCTCATGTCGGGGGTTGCAGAGTTTATCACTGTGAGCCAAGAAGTGAAAAACAAAAACAATTGGTGATTCCAAATTGGGCAGGTATGGTACATATCACAAAATAACTGGCAATTCTAAATTTTAAAAAGAAAATAGAAAACATCTGCTTTTTTAACTGATGCTTTTACTTAGATCCAGATATAAATCATCGGACTACCTGTGTTTAAATAACCTAGCTACAGTATGAAACTCTTGCCTGCCACTATCAGAGTCCCCCCCATCTCGGTATAAAACACATAAGAGTAGGAAAATAAATAAGGTCGGAAATTGTTTCTTGTAGGTTTTCACAATTCTAATTTTGATACACACAATACTGATTGATTAACCCACACCTACAGTAGGTTAATAACATAGGAGACCCAATGTGTTTGTCACCTAATCACCTAGGATTCTCCATAGTGTCAACATTTGGAACCTAGCAACACTAAAGCATCACTGGGAAAATTGACTAAGAACAATTTCTGCTGAAAACTCTTACTCTCGTATTGAAGCGCATTTCGGTTTTCATTTTGTTTTCTTTCAGTGAAATGTAGTCTACATTATGTGTTTTATTTAAACCATACTTTAGCTAGAACTGGGGATATAAATCACAATCTCAAAAGAAATTTGGTCTTTTCTAGCTTTCATTAGATTCTAAAATTCAGTCTGAAGCTTTAAAAAAAGATATTATGGGTCTGATGTTTTGCCAGTTTATGAACCAGATATTTTTCCACAAAACCATTTAAAAGCAATTGGATGCTGGCCTGATTCTGTCCGGCCAGATTTCAAGAACTTATGATTGTCAAGGGATGCTTTTTGCACAAGGACGTCCTCTTCATATTTAGATTCTGAAGCACTAGAATAGCTCAAAGCATTTTAGTAAACAGGAATGCACTCTCAGTGATAAAATTTAAAACGTTATCAAATGTACTGTCATTGCTATTTAATCCATCCATTTTCTTACTGCTTCATCCAGTTCAGGGTAGCAGGAGAGCCAGAGCCTATCCCATTAAGGAACAGGCAAGCAACAGGCACAAGGCAGGATATACCCTGGACAGGACACCAGTCCATCACAGGGCAGACACACAGATGTGCACACACCCATACCAGGGCCAATTTTCCCAGGATTCAGTTAAACTACCAGTTTGTCTTTAGATTGTGGGAGGAAACCAGAGCACCCAGAAACACCATCACACACAAGGAGGAATACAAACTCCATGCTGATAGCAGCCCAGGTCCAAAATTGAACCTAGGGCACCAGCACTGCGAAGCAGCAGTGCTAACTACACTGCCGTGCCACCCATCATTGCTATTTATTCTTGATAAAATCATGTAAAAGGGAGAGGTGGAGATGAGAGTAGCTTAATTATTTTTTAGGCATACAGTATATCTAGGATGTTTTCTTAAGCTCTTTTACAGTTGATCAGTAAAACTATTCACCTCACTATAGGTACAGTTACCTGTAAAACACCTTAGAGCCAGGTTAGAACATAATTGAGCTGTTAAGTAAATAATTAGACCAACTATGAAAGTGAGAGCTGGTGTAATAAAATTCACAGAACACTGCTGAGCTATTGGAACCCTATTGGAGCTGTTGAATGGGAGTAAACTCAGCTTCAGAAAGGTGAATGTGTGTTAAATTACGAGTCCTGTTGACTTTGTTCTAAAAAATCTAACATTTTTTTCAGGCAGGATCCAGTTTAGAGATCTGTTTTTGGCTTGCTTAGACCCTTACCTTTTGTTTCCATTTTCCATAGTGAGAAGAACACTAAAGAGTGGCCTGACACCAGAGGAGGCCAAGGCACTGGGACTAATTAGCACCTCGGAAATGCAGGTGTGAAGAGCCCTCAATAGCTCAGGCCAGAAACACAAAGAGCACCTGGGTCAACCTTTGCTGTGGAAATGCCTTTCAGCTGAGTGCGAACCATACCACCTAGCATTTGATCACTTTGGAGCTCATGCTATTGTTGTGGGACAACATTATTTGGAAAAATTAAAAAAAATAAAAAGTGTGTTACAGCTCAGCACTAGAACACTTGACAGCTGCATACATCAGGATTGTGTTTGAGTACTTTATAGGTTGAAAACATATGGCTTCTTTTTTGTTGTTGTTTGCTTAAGCTGATATGGGAAGTATAAAACCCCCATTGTTGTGTTAATTGCTCCCATATGAGCTGAGTTTGTTGACCACTCATGTAATTGTAATATTTGCCTTGTCAGTGTGAAGAGCACCCTTTTCCCAAGCTAGGTTAGCACTCATGCTTGTTGGGTTGCTGTCTACTGTTTATTTTTAAACTTAAGGTTTGCAGCATAAAGCAAGCATCGAGACTAAGGCACAGGATAGACAAAAGCACAGTGTTCAACCTGACTTCTTTACTTGATACTACAATAAAAGACTCCTTTGTAAGTAAAACATGGAGGGAGCTTATATATTTAAAGAGGAGGAATATTTCTTGTAGTAAAAGACTTAGATCCATTGTGGTTTTGAGCCTGAACTAGAATTACTGTATTACAGTGACTGTCAAAAGCTCACAAACTTGATCTCTTGAAATTAACACCTTGAAAGTTTTAATACAGATCTCTTTGTATGTTTTTAAATCTTATTTATTTTGTAACAGTGTAGAAAAGTAGTAGCCCATAACACACTGCAATTAAGAAGAGAATGGTTCTGCATCTTGACAAGAAAGAACATGATATAATTAGTGATCACTTAACTTCAGGTTGCGATTTTATAGTATTACTCATACAGTACTGTAGCATACTGTAGTAAATTAATGTTTCAGCTATTGACAGGTGATACTTTGAATGTGGGTATGCTAGAAAGCAAAGATTTATCTGAAAAGAAAATACATTTTGAATGTGGAGAATTGTGAAGATTTTGTAGTAAGAATGTAATTTTAAACTAATTAAGGAGGATCCAGTATTTGAAAGACTCTAAAAATTGGTATTCTTCCATTGCCAGCAATGGTTTACAACTGTATAACACAGTTAGAATTTAACATTCAATATGGAATTATCTGTAGTGATTGTCATAATAAAATATCGGTACAAAGTGTTTTTTTATTAAATCCATTATCTTCTATCTTAGCAGTGTCATGCTAACCTTGAGGAACAGACACAATAGAACTCTACAGGACAGTAGAACAGAGGGTGTAGTAACTACCAGGTTTGCAGACCTTTCAGAAGTAATTTGTTCCCTCATCTGTGTAAAGAGAGAGAAATGTGAAGGATAAATTAAAGTAAAAATCATATAAAAATGACGTTTACACTTCAAAGGCATAGAGGTATTGTTATACTCATTAAAGTTCAAATGAAGTTTTCAAACGTGTCTGTTACAAATAAAAATGTCAGTTAGCATGCATCTTGGCTAATAAAAGCTAAAGTGAAATTGCAGTTTTATCAAGCTAGAAGAAGAGATAATGTTGGCTTTGCATACAAGGCAATGGTGATTGTTGAGTTTAAGTTAAATATAGATGGTTTTATGGAAAACAAATTAATATGTTGTGTGAAGAGAGGAAAGTCTGAGCAGAAGGACAGTGAATGATGTATAGTAGAAGTCAATAAAGGAGAGGGGTAAAAAAGGAAGGTTTTATCGGGTTTACTTCACATTAAATTTGATTGTCCAGATGGGCAAATCAAAATTATTTACAACATTGTGTAAGAAATGGATGTAAGAATTGTAAAAGCACAAATATAAATAGACAAGGTTGAACAGAGATTATTGTGTATCTGTTTCTCCAAGTGTCATTTTTCTGCAGCATGGGGCTTCATTTTGCATTCTTCTTTTCACCATCTCCTCTTTTCTAAAAAAGGCAGAGTATGATTAAGATTACTGTTTATAAGATGGATAGTCTTATGATATCTGCATGATTTCTTATCGTATCCAGGTTGTTTCCTTTAAAAAAAGTGTTTTACGCCATTTATATTCAACTCTAATAGAAGCCAAGTAACATGATGCAAAAGTGGCCCCTTTCTGGATAATACAATGACATGCATATTCAATATCCTGTATTGTTCTTCTCCTGATCATGTATTCAAAGAGATAAGACTGCTGAGCTATGTGCTCTTAACACTGACAATGCTTTTTATATCCATATACTGCATAGTCAGAACAGGACTGCAGCTACAAAACCCGTTAAGAATTTGTCATCCTCTGTTAAAATCTTTTGTTTCTGTTTCTTTCAGTTTTTCGAAAACGTGATATTACACATTATCTTTTAAAATGACAGCCTGATATTATTTGTACTCCTGCCTCTGAGACATTGTACCAAAAACAGTGTACCTCTAGAATGTGTTATGTATTTAAGAAATACAAGAGGGAAGGTTCATTAGCGTTGCACATCCTTTTAGTAAATTCCCCAGATTCTTTGACTGTGGAAAATGTAATCCAGGAAAAGAAAAGTTTTGTGTTTTGGAATAACAGCGATGTAACTCATGCTACAAACAGGATGTTTGTTAAAACTTTGTATTCTATTTTATGAGGTGGCTCTCTTGGAGAGCAGTATAAAAAACTTAGCTGTAGGGAGAACCTCTAGTCCTTAGGATTTTATCGTGTGAATATCAGGACAAAATGTGGAGATTCCACACTTTACTCCCCTTATGCAGTCATTGCAAGATTGTAAGATGCTGGATATCACCACTATTTAAAAGAAACAGAAGTAGCTTTTTGGCATGTAATGACGTATTGATGGGCTTCACATTTTTCTGTGCCTTTCTAAAAGAAGTGTCTGAAATGTATTGTTTAGGAAACAAATGTGGATGTAATATCATGTAATATAATGGCTATGGAATAATAATTGGGCAGCTGCTATTTTCAGTAACAATTCAAAAATTATATACTGTACACGACCCACTATTTAGACCATTAGAATATTTTCCACAGGACAGACAACATCTTGAATTTTTTTAAACAATTGGCATTCACTAAAGTATTCTGTTCCTTTTTGTTGTTTAGAACAAGATATTAAATCTTAACATAGCCTTTCAGATTTTTACTGATGCAAGTAACAATGTCTTAGTAAACAGCTACTCATACTATTACAGTTCACAGCACAATGCCCATGTTACTTGGACACATTACCTACTCTAACCAAGGCACTATGGTATGTTCTCCTCTTCATGTATGGTAGGAGAAGAGTTACAGATTTAGTAAATAGCAGTAGTTACTGTCCGTAGTTACTGTCTAGCACCTTATCTTCCATTTGTAGCATGAATTTCTTTAAAAAATAATAGAATCACTGTTTTCAGACAGTTTCTCTCACTTGAAAGCTGAGAAATGTAAAAAAACGACAATGTAAAATTATAATGGAAAAGTATTTTGAAACAAATACGGAAGGACAAATGCTGTAAAATTGTGTAAATGTCATGCTACAAGTTTTTTTTGTGTAGTATAGTGTAATATAGGCTAAATAGCAGTGTTATTCTGTGAATTGTAATTTAAGAGAAAATAAGCCATGCATGGTTAAAAAAAAAGATATCTACAGATGTGTTGCTTCTTCTAGATAAGGGAATTTCTTTGTTTGATTCATTGTCAATGATATTGCTTATGTCATGTTTTAATTTTCTCTTTTATGGATTGAATCACACTCAACAGAATTATCTAATCAATCCGTCCACCTTGAACTCGTTTTAAAGCCTTAGGAAGACTCTTTGCAAAGCTTTATTTTGTGAAAAGGAGACAAGTTTGTTTTCTTACCTACAAAATCTGCGCTCATAACCTCTCTTTTTCAGTGCCATGCAATGTCAAAGTGAAGAATAGACAGTACATCTCTGCTTAAACAGTGAAATGTCAGTTTTACACTCATCCCTACAACAGTATGTATACACATCTTACAATAAAGCTTTTATGAAGCAATCATGAATTGTCTAGACTGTGTTCTGTTTTTGTGAGTGATCTAACCTTGGTGAGATCACAAAGAATACTGCCTTTGGGATGAGCTTAATGTAAAAGTAAGTCCTTGATAGTGTGATGAAGTGGAGGAATCGGGAGCGATGACCTCAAGTCAGACCGTTGAATGAGGTCACTACAGATGACGGAACATTTGTCAGTGCACATTCCACACAGGGCTGTTGGAGAACTCAGTGATGGTTGTACCATACCTATAAAAGAAAACTGAAACAGATCTGAGAGCATCTACTCCTGTTGTAGTAGATCGGTTAAGTCTTGGGTGAGATAAACTTCTATTGGTAAAGTAGAGCACAAATATACTCTAGAACCCAAATAAACTCTATTTGGGTTATAAACGGAAAGTTAACATCATCAACGGTTATTGTGCCAAACTGTTGGAAATTTCCCAGCCTTTGGACAAACAGTATCCACTGAATAAAATTAAATAGGATTTAGACTATTCAAATAACTCAAGGGAAAGTAGAACAGCCAAAGTTAAGGACCAAACCCAGGGTTGGAAGGGCTGAAACATCAGGTTAATTCTTCCTAAGTTTAGTAGCACTTCTCTTATAATAGAGGAACTATGGTTTTCATGTACACAGGTCTTTCACATCACAGTACCTATACAATGATTCTGTTACAATACTTAAGTTACTGTATCTGACAGTCAATGGTATAAATGTTTGATATTGGCAAATACTGTATAGCATAAATTAGCAATTGATTTTCTGAGACTTCAATTATTCTTATTCTCTAGTATGTTCAGGAAAAGAGCTTTAAACTAGATCCCTCTTGTCACTGATAATATCTATAAATTAACAATATTATGTGTTCAAAAATTGGCTTTGTTTGCCTCAGAAACTTACCTTGATCCAAATCCCTCCTATATTTTATATGTGTCTAGACAGGACTTTGTCTTCTTCAGCTCCTCACTCTACTTTGTTTCTGGAGCTGGACCACATTTTTGTCCCGACTTGTTGTCACAGCCCCCTTCAGGCTTTAAGGTCAACAGGCAACTTCTTAGCTTTGGACTTTGTGGTAAGCTAATCCATCCTCAGATTGCCCATGAACTAAAAAAATCTGTATTCCTTTTATTTTAAAGGACACACAAGAAGAGGTCTTTTGTTCAGAAAAATTCAGAAAACATCGGCTTATACAGGGTTCTAATTTCCCCTTTTTTCATCTGCAAGTCATTAATCAGTGTGAGCCCAGCCATCTCCCTCAGCTGAGAGTTCTTCATGATCATGTCAGCATTCCTCTCACACAACCCTACGTTATTCTCAGAGTTTTTTTGTAATAATCTGATCTACTGTAACTATAACTTTTCCTCTTTGCTCTGCCATGGGCAGTCTACTACAGCTGTTTCAGTGAAATAACAACAGTAATAATAATTTACATTTTGTATTGTACATTTAATGAAAAAGGATCCCCCCGTCCGGTATTAAGGATTAGCACCAGGTTAAATGAGAGAGAAATGTAGGTACTGTAGCGCTAAAGTGGAATTAAACCAGGACACTGGATAAAATAGACTGCATAGCATCTGAATATTTTCCATTTTCTGTGTCCCATAATGTTTCTAATTAACCTTGTACATGATGTGTCCTGAAGTTTCAGGAGACTTCCTCTCATTTTCCACTGATGCTCTTGTTTTTCACCAGTTACTTCAAACAGCAAACTACAACCTCTATGAGCTAAAATCAGCTAATATTTAGCAAATGTGATAATAAATTCTAAATAAATACTATTGATTCTAAAATCATTTTTTATTGTTTGAGACTAAAAATGTCATTAATGTGTTACTTTAACCTTTATGATACAAATTGACTATACTATACTATGGTCAATTACTACTAGTACTATATTTAAGTACTGTTATATGTGGTATTCAAACTAACACAACACACTGTATTTGAACATATACTGTACTTGTAGACCATTAACAGTTTTTAATGGTATCATCAGAACAACTCATGCTGAAAAGCTACTTTTATTATTGTTTTTTTATATAATTAATCCAACAAAATGACAAGAAAACATACTTTCCATAGCTGTGCAGGAAGTCATTTCCTGCTATCATTCATGTCACAAATAATCCAGAGAGCTTGGCTTGAGCTTGCTGGGTTGTGCGGCTCGAGCAGAGGAGTGGAATCCTGTGATCGGTTAATTTGTTCAGTATGTGCAACACTCAGCTTGAGAGGAGGAGTAGTCACCTAGTAGCCAGGAGGTCATGGCTGTAGACAGAGACTGAACATCGTTAAGCTCCCCATCTGAGTGCAGATGTGTGTGCTACAGGTGTTCTCCTTTCAAGGGTTCAGACTGTAGAGATTCCTGTGAGAATCTGTGCAGTTTAAAAAAGACAGGCTGTTGCCAAGGTTCTTGTACAATGTGATGGAAGACTGCAAAAATTTCATTTATAAGACACTGAATAGTCTTGCTCCACATTTTCTTAAAGATGTATTGTGTGAGTATAGTTTAGCTCTCAGCTTTAGATCCACTGATTTTGGCCTTTTTACCCAAGCAAACACCAGGATCCACGTTGAGTGACAGGCCATTTTTGTATGCAGCACACCATGGAAATGGAACTCACTGCCAAAGTCTGTTAGAAGCTCTGAGACTAACAGCACTTTCAAACTTTGCTTAAAGAAATATCTTTAAATATCTTCAGATTATAATGTGTAAATCTAGCCTTACTCTAGCATTGTTTTCTCTAGACCACTTTGATATACTTTTTTATTTTTCATTTTGCTTCTGTTGTATATTGTATGTGCTACTGTTCAGCACGTTGTGAATCTGAAAAGGAGTTAAAGTAAAAGGAGATATTTTATTCTCTTTCTCTTAGTATTCTGGAAAAGTGTGAAATAAAGTGACAGGTTATTAATAACCAAGTAATCAGGAAATGTATAATTATTTACAAAATACACTATGCATTGTTAGTATTTTCATTTCTTGTCTTGGTAACACATTCTGCATGTTTGTTACCATGGTAAGCATTGTGTAAATGCTTGGGTATGCCCTTAACAATAGGAAGAATAACTTAAATTTAACCAATTAAATGTCAATGTCAACCAATCCCCTATATAAAAGAGCTCTATTTTCTCCCCTGAAGCTGTTTAACTCCAGGAGTAGATTAAATCTATCACTTTCTTTCATTTCTACCTATCTATTACAGTATGTGTGTAAGACTATTGCCTATGTTTTGTTATTCTTCAGTACTCAATTGTGTGTTTGAATTTCACAAACTGGGTGTTGGTTTCAAGACCACTGCAAAGAGATTATTTCCTTATGGCAGTTTTTTTTTTTTGTAATTGTCCTTTATAACTGAATAGTCTAACTCAGTCTTTTCAATCATGGTCCAGGAAGCAAATATTTAAAATTTCCTCAAATAGAACATTTAAATAAATTAGTCTGTGATTAGGAAGTGGGATGGAGTAAAAACAAGAAGGCACGTGGATTCTCCAGGATCCCAAGACCCCCTGTACAGATATTGACCTGAGTGTAGACAAAAAGACTAAAAAAAGAAAGCAAATCCATTACGGGTGATTAACAGCCTAGATGAAACAAAAACCGTCATACACAAGTGTACTACTAGACCAGAATCGGGAACCTCTAGCCTAACTGACAAATCATATCATCACTCATTTTTTTGTGTGATTGTTGTCATATTGTATTCTGTTTCTTTGTTTTTATTTTGTATATTTAGGTAAAGCTAAATTTGCTGAAACTGTTTTAAGGTAACCTCCCAAAACTAGAAGAGTATTGACACACCATGACTGTTCCTCAGCAAGGGAGCTGAAAAAATGCCGCTCTCTTTTAATGTCTGTGGAGGTACGTGAATCCATGACAGAAATTCAAGACAGAACCGAAAATCCCAAGTTTTTAAGCTCTTTTTTTCAGGTACCACTGTGCAACCGTTATGTTTTCTGAGGAAGAAACTCGTCACACTGGGCTTAGCTGCGGGTAAAAAATGAGTCTGAAAAATACTTAAGGAACATTCTAGACTTTATGAGTGGCTTGCGGCTTAGTTCCTTCCCTGTTGCACCTGTTCTTGACCAATCTATCACTGCTTACTCCCCTTTTTCAAAACATATCCCTTTATTAGCTGCATTAATCTCATGAAGTATACCATTTAAGAATGAAATTGATTAATTCAGGAACTATCTGCACTCAAGGCAGATAAATGTAGCTGAATGTGAAGACAGTGCTAAGAGTGCTGTGCTACCATCAGAATTAACAAGTCTGGATTTGATTACTTCCCTTGTTCCTGATGCAATTACTTTTGCAGCCACTTGTGTATAATAAACGAAGCAGACTGGACACGCATGTCAGGGCTCATACATCACAACAAAGCACATTTCTCTTCTGAATGTCCTCAGTGTGTTCGTAGTTCTTAATTTACACTTTTCTTGTATTGATATAGAGAAGACTCCCCTGCTATCTTGGCAGCCAACATAGGAACATTTGAATAACTTTGTATTTTTATTAGCCGTATTATGGTATCTAAAAACAAATGAGGCATGCAAAAATTCCAAGCATTATTATGTGTCACAGGAAGTCCTCCCTTTTAATATGATTACAGCAAACGTCTAGTGTTACAATCCGCTTGATGAATTATGAATGCGGAAACATAAGAATCTGAAAAGAATTTAAGAATGCCTTGTGTTTTTTTTTTTCTTAAACAGAAAGGAAGATTGGCTGCTTTGTTTAGGGTACTCTTACAAAACAAAAAGATAGCTGTATCACTCTTAAACGTTTAACTTCTAAGCTGTGTGGCCGGACCAGAGTCTATTGTTTTTACAGTGAGAATGAACTTTGGTGGAACTAGACACAGTTCATAGATACATTATTTTTAAAGTTCTCAGCTCTGTGACCTATGAACATTTTCAACTTAATTTTCAAGTTGTTTTTAGCTCTAAGCATAAAGAGGTAGAGGAAAGCATAAACAACATCTACAGTAAAGACTATTAATTTTTT